AGGCTGAGATGACTGTCTTCTCTGCTACCTCTTCTTCGTTCCTTTTCAGGTTTGGTGTCAAGAGATGCACAGAAGAAGTTTCCGCCCAACACTCCATCAAGACAATGTAGGTTGGAAAAATGGTACAATGTATTTAAAATAGTGAGAGATCACTGTTGGAATTTCCCTTCAGATGTCTACACCTGGCAGGAGACAGTTTAAAGCACACTAAAAATGGTTTATCACCTCTAGCTGTCTACAGTCTATAATTTCATCTCGTTTCTACACTAGAAGCCACTGTGACCACATCAAGATAAGAGCTTAGGAACTGTCCCCCCAAAAGGCTCTACAAGAGTTATATGGTATCACTACATTTTAGAATATAAAAATTGTGAACTTAAAAACTTGGGGCCAGTCGATGGCATAGTGGTTACGTCGCTGGACTCCCACACGGTCTGCCGCAATTCGAGTTCCAGACCTGGTGGCTTGAAACTCACACTGTGCAAGTGTGCATGCGTGCCCAAAATCCTCAGAAGAGTGGAGGGGAAGATGTGGCTAGCCTTCCAAGGAGGTGGGGGGAGCTATTTCTTGCTTTCTATTTCTCTGTCTCTCCCACTAGTGCAAGCACCCTACATCAAAAATCTCTAAAAAAAAAATAATAAAAGATACTGGAAATTCTTTTTAAAAATCTAGTCCAACTCCATTTTATAAAATTTGATAAAATATATAGAGATTTGTTGACTCCTTCAAAAAATCCAGTTAGCATGCGACAATAGCAGGGTTTGAAAGTTACCCCCTCCACCAGTTACAAAGTAAACAGGAACACATTCTTTCTTGGTAAACGCCAGTATTAAAAACGAGTTAAAAATTAAGACTTAGAAAACAAAAACCAAAACCCCACTGTAGTGCCAAATTAATTAGCTACCAATTTGTCTAAGTGACCATATGCTAATAAACATGCTAAACACATACGCAAACACAAACTTGCCGACTTAAAAACACAGTTCAGCACAGTCACGCCACTGCCTAATTCTTGAACTGGTTTCTGCCGGTCCCAGATGAGCGTGCCCTCACGAAGGCGCAAAGCACAGGAGCATGCAGAGTTGGTGTTACAACGCCGAGGACTGTGAGGTCCTAGGTCACCTTCCGCAGAGGCCCGTCCTCAGTGACTCCCCGCAGTGCGGCTGGGCGCGCGCGGTGGGCCAGGGCCACCCCGAGGCCCGACGACCAACTCCGGGCTGGGGCAGCGCCCTCCGCTCCCCGCCAGGGCGGGCCGGGACCCGGCAGCCCGCAGAGCACCCTCGTTTTCCTTCGTGCCTCCACTCTGGTCTGCAAACCCCAGACGCGCGGGGAACCCACCCGGCTCTCCGCGGCGCAAATCCGCAACGGTCTGCGCTCTGCGCGTAGGCGCCCGGCTGGCGCTCGCCGTTGCCGCAGCAACCCACCGCCGCGGCGCTCACTCCGCCGTGCGC